CCCTCTCCCCCTCCCTCTCTCCCTCCTTAGTATTTTATAACTCTTGATTAACTCCACATCCAGCTCCAATTAAAAAGTAACACAGGGATGAAGCGAGAAAGACTTGGATGGACTGAAAGTACATTTTACCCCATTAGTAGGGGATGTAAAAGAGAAAAGATAGTCACTTGTATAAAAAATAAAGACATATCTTACCACCTAAGTGTGTGGTCTCGGAGTTATACCAGCTCTGGTATGCAGGGGGCAGTTTCAGTTCTCTTTTGGGTTCCTGTTCCTAAACTCAGGTGTTGCCTGAGGAGCTTAACGTACTCATGTCTGTGTTTCATCCCCAGAAACTGTCATTTTCATATATGTGGAGAGAGGCCTGGGCTTTGCGGTTTGTAAAAGCTCCCCAGGTAATCCGAATGTGCAGACCATTTTGGGAATGCATCACTGTTCCAGAACATGCTAGTGGTCTGTCAATACATAAATGATGTTGTTCATTTCCACACCTTTTTAAAAAAGGCCACTTAGTCTTTTTTTTTTTTGGTACAAGGGATTGAACTCTGGTCTTTCCGCTTGCAGAGCAGGCGGCGAAACCACTGAGCTAAATCCCCGGCCCAAGGCCACTTATTCTTGATGATCAGTTTTGAACTGAAAAAAATCCAAATACATTTTTGAAATTAAAACTTGTTTTCTATTATGTGACCATCATGTCCAAAACAAAATAAAAATAAAAAATACCTTAAAAATGATTTTTCTGTAGTCTATAGCCAATAACTCTTTGCAAAATGTTTATCATATAAATTGCACTGGACAGAAACTGATTTTTAATTACATAAAATTACATGTACATATGCATGAATGTAGGTGCATTTTTAAAAAATGAAATGTCTTTACTGTTTTAGGCATAAGTAGCTGCTAAGCAGAGCAAAGCTTAAAATGTCTCTTCTTTGTCCTCTCTAAAGCCTTACTTTGTTTTTTAGAGTTACACAGACAGCTAAACAAGAAACCCTCTTTTAAGGGCTTTTAAATCTTTCTCCTTCCCATTATCATAGTTCAGATCAGCATTCCTTACCTGGAATCCTGTACTAGTTTTCTACCTGGTTTTCCTCACCCTGACTTCCAACCCTTTCTTTTCAAAACTGCTAGAGTGATCGTCATAAAATATGAATGCGATCACTCCAGTTAGTGACCCTGCAAAGATTTCCATAGCCCTTAAGATGAAATCTAAACATGTTAACTTGCTATGGAGGTTTCTTCATTTCTAACCACTGCTTCTCAGGCAAACTGCTCAGGCTCCCCTACGAACACCTAAGCTCCAGTCTTAGGATCTTTGATTTCTGAGAAGCTCCCAGCCATGAGAATTCCTGCCTTCAGGTTGGTTTCCTTTTAAACAAGTAGACTTTGGGGAATGTGTTTATGGATTGTTAAAGTACAGATTGCTGAAAATATTCTAGCACTTGATGCTTTTCTTATCACAACATGCACCACCCTGCAAGTCCCATTCTCTGTCCCTTGCCTGCATTCCCAAGAAGAGTGCAAACTGTCTGAGGGAAAATCTTGGCATTTTGCACATCCTTACTCTCCAGCACAGTGGTGGCTCTCGAAAGACACAGAATAAATACTGCACAAGTAGAGGAATGACATTTATGCCTGGCTCCCTTTCCTTTCAGTACACCTCACTCCCAGCTCCTCTTGAACTAGAAAGCTCTCTGGCTAACATCAGATGAGTCTTAAACATAGCTACGAGAGCAACCATGTGACAAAACAGATGTATATGTACTCTTCAGTTGGACTTGATATCCAATTTGAATGCTAAGTTTGCTTGGCATTCTGGGTAGAGAAAACATTTCTGCTCTTTCATGTATGGAATTAGTCCCTAAATATGAATAGTTTTTGTTAGGTTCCAATTTATAGATTTATTAAATGGTCTATATTTGTCTGCCTATGAAATTTTCATTGACATTTGCTATAGCTAAAAATTCTATATTCTTTGTTCAATTGCTAGAAATTTAGGTGATTATAACAATTGTGATATAAAATTTAAAATTACCCAAGTGCTAAGCATAACATACAACATTTTACTCTATTGGTAGTAAAAATTAGAATATTCCTGAGTTTCAGAAGCCTTTTCTTCTTTTAAAAAAGCATTTTGTAGCATCCATTTTCTCTCTGATTGTATCATACAGAAACATGCATTTATATTCCAAAATTTGACAGTGGGCTTTACCTGATTAGTGCTTATCACTAGTGACATGGAGCGCAACACATTTACAGCAGCAAGTGATCTGTAAGATAAATACTATTGGCAAGAAGAAAGGAAAGCAAATATGCTCATCTAGATTTTTAAAAATAAATATATGTGCTCTTTCTGATATCAAATTCCAAAATCACTTGATGAATCTTTGAAGGCATCAGCAATAGTATCTATTTTCTATAAAGCAGCAATCACCATAGTAGAGTTTCTAAAATCTAAAAGGAAATGCTCTTATGTTATGTTTTGGGGTTTTTTAAACTTTACTTTATTGGTACATTTTAGGTATACAATAATGTCATTCATCATTGGAAATTTTCACCTTTACATAATCTCAGTTCTTATTTATTCCCCATTCCCCTGCCCTCCCTTCAACCCCTCCATCCCTCCCTATTTGCACATTGTTTCCATTTTTTCATTTTCTCATATTAATTCCATTCCCTTCTTTCCTTTCCCCTACCCCTCCCACTTCCTCTTCCCCTTTGCCCCTTTTCTTCCTATTTCACATTACGTATTATACCTTTTAGTCCTTATTTACACTTTCAGTTTCTCACTAGA